TATTCAAAATATGGGTCCTAGAACTATATTCCCATTGTGAAAACGACTATTTCCTCAACATCTCCCCCCACCCCCCTGTCTATGTTTTTTTTTTTTTTTATTGCTTTTTTTAACTAATGCGACTGTGTGTTCTAACACACATAAGAAAGGCCAAGCTCATGTAGTCACAAAAGATGTGTACCCTCCAAACCAAGAATGAAAATGAAACACTTTTTTTTTCTTGTCTTGAAACAGGAGACTTGTCTTTGGCTTCTACCCGAAAGCCTCCGGCCGATCAATGACTTTCACATAGTTCACAACGTGTCATCCTAACCTTTATGTTCCCTGATTATTTAGTTAAGATGCATTTCTTACTTACTTACTTACTTAGTCGCTCCTCTTCTACCTTGGGGTGTAGAGGTTTGCCAGAGAGATCGCCAGACGTCTCTATCAGCAGTTTTCTTTCTGGCTTTGTTCCATTCCAGTCCTCTGTCAGTTAGGGACTGTCGGATGTTGTCTTCCCAGCGCACCCTGGGTCGTCCCGGAGGTCTGGTTCCCTGGTTCTTAGCCTCCCATGCTTGCCATGGTGGCCGATTTTCTCCCATTCTGCATTACATGTCCAAACCATCGTAACTGTGACTGATATCTACTCGGGTTACTAAGGGCTGGGTATCAAGATCTTGACGTATTGTCTGATTGCGGACTTTGTCCCTTCTTGTCACTTGGACCACCTTTCTCAGGTATATCTCATTTCCGAGGCCTGCAGCTGGCTTCTGTGAGCTGTTTGTCATTGCCCATGACTCACACACCATAGGTCAGGACTGGTACATAGGTAGAGCGGTAAACAGCCATTTTTCGTCCTCTTGCCAATTTCTCTTTTGCTAAGAAACCCTCGGTTTATGGCCTGGAAGAGTCTCTCCCAGCAGCTGCTTTTCGTGTAGCCAGCTCAGTCTTAATGCCTCCATTTTTGGTCTAATACAACTCCAAGGTATTTGAACTGGTTTAACCTGCTCCCAACGCATACTGTCCATCATGATCTGGTGTTTTTCTTCTCCCTCTCTTGAGATCACCATGGTTTTAGTTTTGGAGACACTGATTGGTCATCCCTTTCTTTTCAAGCTCTTCCTTCCAGACAAGTAAGTTGGACTGAAGGTGTGCCTCTGATTTAGCTATCAGGGCCACATCGTCTGCAAAAAAGCCAGCTCTGATATACAGATTGGTCTCATCTTCCAGTACCCTACAGAGTACTTCTTTGTCTTTCTCCTTACAGGTCTTGATGACATCATCCATCATAAGAAATGAAGAGGTAAGGTGAGAGAATATCACCTTGTCTAACACCGCTGGGTGGTGGTCTTAAATTCTTCTGACTTTTGGTCTGCTGTTCTTACATAATTTCTGCACTTTTTGTAGAAACTCTGTATTGCACTGATCAGGGGTGCTGGGATGTTTTCCATGCCAAGCAGTCCCCAGAGCTTGTTCCAGGGTACCTTGTCAAATGCCTTTTCCAGAATCCAAAAAAACATAAGCGCATCTCACTCTTATATTCCAGGGCTTTTTCACTCATCTGTCTCAGTGTGAAGATAAGGTCTTGAGTACTTCGGTTTGCTCTGAAGCCGCATTGGGCCTCGTCCAGCTGTGGCTCTACCAGACTTCTAAGTCTCTTGCTCAAGAATTTCTAGAGTAACTTTTTACCGGGAAAACGCTGAGGAGGGGATATGCCTCTGTGGTTTTCACATTGTCTGTTATCACCTTTTTTTTAATTTAGGTATAATGATGGCAATTCTCCAATCTTTTTGGTATAGTTTTGCTACACCAGGCTGCCTGGAGAACCTTCAGTAGAAGGCGCTCACCTTTGACTCCCATATATTTGACCATCTCTGGTGTTATACCATCATGACCTGCTCGCTTTTCCCAGCTTAATCTTCTCAATAGCTGCCTTCAATTCTTCCAACCTGATGTTATCTTCCCCAGTGAGGTTCATTCGATTTGGGTCATGACTTCCTCAACGCCGAGGAGCTCCTGAGAAGTATTCTTTCCATCTGCCCATGATATCATTTGTAGAAGTAAGCAGAGCCCCTTCTTGTCTTTTATGAATTTAAGTGGGCACTCTTTCTCCTTCCTCATGTTCTTAAGGGTCTTGTAGAACAGTTTTTTGTTTTCTCTAGCATTCTTTTCCAACTTTTCTCCAAACTCTTCCCATGATTTCTGTTTTGCTTTAAGCACCAATATTTTTGGTCTCTGTTCTGAGTGCCCACATATTGTTTATATTTTTCTATTTCTTCAGCTGTGTTCCTGGCTGCCAGGTTATTGCTTCCATGCCTTTTCTTTTCTCCTATTTTCATTTGACTTCTTCTGTCCACCAAGGTGTCCTGTGTCCCCGCCTTCCACTTGGGACTTCACCACATGCTTCTACTGGCAGCTGCTGTGAGGATATTCTTGAATCTGCACCAGAGGGTTTCAGTGTCCTCTGATGATTCTCTTCAGTTTCCTATTGCTTTCACTATAAGCTCCTGGTATCTAGCCTTAATATCTGGCTCTCTTAGCTTGTATGCTTTAATCCTCATCCCTTCTTGGTTGCTTGGTTTCTCGCATGGTTGTCGGTGTTGCCTTGTTGGAGCAGTTCTTTCAGTTGTTCTCTTTATTGTGACCAGATAGTGGTCACTTCCAATCTCTGGTACTCTCATGACTCTGGCATCTCTCACAAACTTGAATGAACTTTTCCTAACTATGGCGTAGTCAATGATGGATTTTTCATTCTTTGAAGGTTCACATCTTCTGTATGCATGTATACGCTTGTGGGGGAATTTTGTGTTTGTAATGACAAGGTTCTGTTCCCTGCAGAATCTGAGAAGTCGCTTGCCATTATCATTCAAAACATCTTCACCATATCTCCCGATCACTCCGCCCCATCTAGAGTGATCATTTCCTACTCTGGCATTTAGATCTCATAGGAGGATAATTTCATCGTGACAGTCATCTATGGTCCTTTGGAGCAGTTCAAAGAATTCTTCTTTAACATCTACTCGCTCATCTTCATTTGGCCCGTACACAATGACAAAATTGACAATGTTATCTTCTTCTTTCAGATCTAACACCATTATTCGCTCTGAGATGAATTTCCATCCCTTGATGTTACTAACTTGATTCCTGGCCACAATACAGCCAACACCTCCCTTGGCTCTCTTCGTCATAGGGACACCACTGTAGAGCCGCATACTTCCATCGTGATCTGTGATTCCTTGCCCCATTTTCTTGGTTTCAGTCAGAGCCAAGACTCCTAATTTTGCTTTCCTCATCTTCCCTACTAACTCGTTTTCCTTTCCGTTAATGCCTCTTATATTCCATGTTCCATAAATCGTAGTCCGTAAGCCATCCCAGTTCGTCGCCGTTAAGATCCGTCCGGTTTTCTCTCTGTAGTTACTTGTAATCGTGGTTTAAGGCAAACAGGTGATTGGCCTGTTGTGCCTTTGCATGGTGGAGGGGCTGCCTCCTTGCGGCCTCCATGCAGGCCGTCTGGCTGATTCACGGTTACCCACTACTTCCGGAGACGCATGAAGCACTCAGGTTCAGCCAGACCCTCCTCCTTTTACAGCCGGGCTTGGGACCGGTCTTAGCGGAGTTAGATGCATTTCTAATAGGTTTTTACTAAGAAAAATTTTTTTTATTATAAAAAAATCTTTTTAGTGCCACCATATAAATCAATGTTGCCGCTTGAATTAACTCCGCAACGCTGAAAGTTCATTTTAAATATTGAGATTTATTTTATTATGTAACAAGGAAATTAGGATGAATCTTCTTAGTGATAAATAATGTAATCCCTAGGCAGTACAAGGTTTGTGGGGATGTTATGGCTGACTAGACGGTCGTGTCAACTTTATCTGATGTTATTTGTCTTTCTCTTGCATTGACTGACACAAAAGCGATGACTGCTCTTTCAGAATAGCCTGGATAAGAGCCAACTGTATTTGAAACATATTACATGAGAACACCAGGGCGTAAGGTGAGAGAAAGACCAAGACAGAGATGGACAGCTAAATCTTTTAACGACAAAATATATAAAAAAGAAGAAAAATAACAATAAGAAGAACTCCACAGGGGATCATGTACAGAAGGCGTCTACTAATCATCAGAAGAAGATCCCTCGTCAACAACTGTTTCGGCCCACAATCTCTGACAATTTCAAAGGGTGGGCCAACCTGGCCTTGATCTTCTCCTGCTGCACTTAACCGTATGTTCTTGGACAGGGACAAGACAAAAATGGTGACTATGCAACGGATACTGTGACATTCGAAGTTAAAACATGTATAGTCGCTGCGGTAGCCATTTAGATCTGTCGGCATACCTTAACGGCCAATTTGCAAGCTTATGGTTGGTTCATCGGACACGTGTTAGTCTTTGCAATTGACAGAGGGACACTGGCAGTCAATTCGGACACGATGGACAACGATAAGACTTTCTTTCCGACTAGAACCCCAGATCAGCCTACCGAAGTCTGTCTCCCACGATGTTCTGTTTAGTCTAGAGCCCGCTCGAAGCTCTTTCAGCAGCTTCGCCCAGTTGTTTTATTGATTCGTTTGCGCTCGTTTCCTAGCAAGCCCAGCTGCTTTAGCACATTATACATGGACGTGTAGATAAGATCTCTTGCGCCTACCTCAACGGCGAAGATTTTTACTGCGTAACCTTCGTCTCTCCTCCGACCAGCGCGAGATCACTGTATTTCTCGAGCTTATTCAACTGATTTTTGTCCATTCGTGATTCATACTGTACGGTCAGCTCAATCAGGATGAGATGTCGTTTTTTCGCAGACAATAACTTTATCACTCAAGCCACTCGAAAAAAAAAATAGACAAATACTGAAAGCAACGACACCGGGCTACCACTAACAGTGAGGCGACAAAAGAGATTGATTGAATTTTTTTTTTAAAGAATAATCTGCTAGTCTAATGAACCTATCAGCTAATTTACTTGCCACTCGTAATTACAGCGTATACTATACTGTTGTTTTTGATTGCCTTCTACAGGTACAGTATACTCTTGATGGTGCTGAATTACTTCCTACCTATGATAACACTCTTTGCTACGTACGCCCGCATCGGCTGGGAGTTATGGGGCAGTCAGGCCATTGGCGAGGTCATTCCCATGCAGGCGGAACGAGTACGGAGCAAGCGGAAAGTAAGGATCATAGACATATCAGTTATACAGTATTCTACCCATAGTGCTGGAATCTGAGGGGCGTGAACATTTTGAGTCCCCACACAAATAAAAAATTATCTTACTTTTTAACAATATTATTATAATTTCTTGTCTTTTGGTACATTATATTTATTAAACACTTGAACAAGGCTTGGGTCCTTTGAGCTCTTTCCTGCTTATAAAATGCGTAGGGCAGCTTAGACAGCTAACTCTAGGATGTGTGGGGTTGTTTTTTCCCCAGCCACTATATTTATGTTGACGCTGTTACGACTGATACAAATACTGCTGACCCTAGTACTACAATGTAATGCTGCTGCTACCACTAAATATACTCTACGCCACTAAAACTACTGATGCCACAACTGGTATGGTGGTAGTAGTGGTGGTGGCACTAGTAACGGTAGTGGTGGTAGTAGTAGTGGTGGTGATGATGGTGGTGGTGGTGGGGTTAGTAGCAACAAATAGTAAAAAGTAGTAAATAGTAGTAGTATTAGTAGTAGTAGTTAGTAGTAAGTAGAGTTAATAGTAGTAGTGGAAGTAAGTTGTAGTAAGTAGTAGTAGTAGCAGCAGCAGCAGCAGCAGCAGCAGCAGTAGTAGTAATACTGCTGTTGCTGTTAAAGAGATTTTACTAGTAACAAGATGATATTGCTGGTGATACGGTTACGATCACGATGACAAGAACGACAACGATGACAATGTTGATAACAACATACCAATCCCTGTAATCTCCACTCATCCCCATCCAGGTGGTCAAAATGATGATTGCTGTAGTGGTCATCTTCGGCATCTGCTGGCTGCCCACTCACGTCTACTTCATCCTGGGTAACGTGCACAAGGAAATCGTCTTCTGGCCGTACATTCAACAAGTCTACCTGTTTATCTACTGGTTGGCCATGTCCAACTCCATGTACAACCCCATCATATACTGCCTCATGAATGCCAGGTAAGATTTCGTCTGCCATTTTTTTTAAATTAATATTATCTTTTACAGAACTGTCTGTGAAATCTGGACCCCAAAAAAAGTATTAATAATATTTAAATAAGGAGCACATAAACAATATGTTGCACAGTTAGTTGCCTAGAATATGTATCTTAGGTTTCGCTAGGTCATTTAAAACAGTATTTACATAAAAATGTAAGGAAACTCAAAAGACGCACATACATATAACAATCCTTTTAACTGAAATACACAAATAAATGCAGTCTCTCTTTGTACTGTAAACATCACTATAAAAGTTTGAAACTAAGTCATCATTATTTTTTTTCATAACGTAAGATTACCCACCTAAATCGTAATGTGTCAGCAAGTTTAAATAGACGCCTGTTCTGTATGTAATTTAATAAATTACCGTTATAAAAATAAAAACAGCTATATCGACAACGATAAATAATAAAACTAATTGCCCACTGGCTCATTAATTATTATTTCCCTCTGTTTTCCCCGTTTCCGAATTCTGTAGAGTGTTTTCCCCATCTCCGAATTCTGTAGAGAAATGTTGATAAGTTTAATAATAATATTAATAATAATACTAATATTAAAATAATAATAATGAGAGGTAATTTCCAACTTTGTCAGTTGGAGCTGAGGTAGCTTAATGTTCAGTGACTTTGTCTGTCGGTTGACTGAGTTTGGTTCAAATCCACCTTCACGACATATAATTTTTGTCGTTTCGATATCCACCAGGACGCACACTGTATTTCACGTTTACCTAAAGTGTAAGAGACAAGACAGGGCTTATTACTGCTTACCTCCCCGTATAGGTTCCAGGGCACTATTTTAGGAGTAAAGAATAGTAAAGAATAGTAAAGAATAGACCCACTTCCCCCTCTAGCATGTTTCCCTTGAAATCAGAGAGCATCTGCCACGAATGTGCACGTCAAACACAAGTTCACGAAAAAGACTAAAGTACAGAAGTGGACGAACAACCAGAACTTTCCGCCACAGCTTACCGCCGGTGAAGGCTATAAAGAAGAGATGACCTACCGCATCTTCTATGATAGAGCTACCTGTAATCAAGAACTTATAGGCTTAACACTAAACCTACCCAATGTTACATGCTGTCAGCGTTTGACACTGCTATCTTCGGTAGGTCATTATGAAAGAGGGTGAATTGGAAATTGAATTTAAATAGCACGATGTTGCCTTAAGCTCTGAGAATGTAGGAGAGCTCTGCAGTAGTGTCCAATAAAGATGTGTGTGGGTTTGTGAGTGTGTGAGTGTGGGTGTGTGTATATGGGTGTGTGTGTGGGTGTGTAGAGAGAGAGGAGCTGCGTTTTAGCGAATCTGAAAGCCAACGTACCTGGTTTTAGAGTTAACACTGGCAGTCGTTTAGAGTAGTGGTTCCAAATTAGATAAGGTCATGGGACACCCTCTTGTTTTCAAGTCTGCCACGGGTCCTACGTTTTTAATTGTTCTATTTAAACAATTACATATATATTAAATTCGCAACGAGAGAGAGAGAGAGAGAGAGAGAGAGAGAGAGAGAGAGAGAGAGAGAGAGAGAGAGAGAAAGAGAGAGAAAGAGAGAGAGAGAGAGAGAGAGCGAAAGAGAGAGAGAGAGAGAGAGAGAGAGAGAGAGAGAGAGAGAGAGAGAGAGAGAGAGAGAGAGAGAGAGAGAGAGAGAGTAGAGGTTTTTTCCCCTTAACGATGTCACTTTTTCTTTTATCTGCTCCCGTATGGCCTCGTTGCACCAGGGCAAGAAAAGATATCTGGAACGGGCTCTTCTTTTTGCTTCGTTTAAAGTACTTTTCAGTGTCTATGATATTTCTGAGGTCCATATTCTGCATGGTGGACCTTTGGATCTCTTACCGCTGTATCTGTATAACACTGGTCCATGTGGTACCCTGTCTGATGCCAATCTTGTTACATGGCCAAACCATTAAATTTGTTATCTACCTAAAATGTTCAGGACTGGTTCTGTGCCGACTCTCCCCCCCCCCCCCCCCCCCCCCCCCCCCCCCCAATCCCTGATATCTTGGTTCTTAAGTCTATCTTTCCTCGTTACACCTGGGATAGTACATAAACATTTCATTTATGTCATGATTATTTACCTTCGGTTTTCTGAAGACAGTGTCCATGTTTGACATTGATAGCATAGCTTTCATAAGAATACTGTGATGAACAGTGTTCTTTTAGTGCCTATTTGGACATGCTTGCATTTCAATTAGCGCCATTTGGCCTAAAGCTTGGTTGGCTTTATTGCATCTTTGCTGGATTTCTGTATCAATTATTGCGTCTTCTGAAAAAAAAAAAAAAAATACTCCACAGACATGTAAAATCCTTGTTCATCAATGTTGATATTGATGGCTCTTTATTTTCTGGAGAATGTCATCGCTTCTGCTTTGTTTACGTTGATCTTCATGTCGCAGTTGTCGCATTCTGAGTGGGGTATGTTTTTTTGCTCTTTTAGTTGGTGTCGTATGGCAGTTTCGTCGCGTACCTTTACTTTTGGATTATTTTCCCAAAATCCTCAGGTACTCTGAGATAAGGGTATTCTGAATGTTGGCTCTCGTTTGTCTAGAGGCCAAGCCCTCGGTTCAAATATATATTCAGCCTATCTCAGGAATGAGGTGACTCGAGCTTTGACTCCACAGGGTTAATGCAAACTCTTGGGTACAACTCGACCAGACATCCTAATTACTAATTTTGCCCTCAGACTGGTAAACAACGTTAAAACAGTCGAATATATAAACAACAGTTGATTTGACAAAACATTATTGTAATCTCAACGACAACAAGTAACTAGATCAACTCAACTTCGGTCAAGAATTAAAAGACTGCTAAACAAAGAGCATAATGTAATAGAGTGTTAAAACATTAGGAGACAACTTGTTCAACTGGAACAGAACAAAAGTTCAGCATGAAGTTAAAGAACTGGAATTTACTGACAGGTCTCCATCATGCGCCACTAACAGATCCATTCTCATCCTGGCACGGAGAGAGAAACGAGGTAGCTCGAGGTTCGAGTGCATTGATTGTCACTATATTCCTTGCAGATAAATGGACTTATCTGATCGAAGTCTTCAAGCGTCTCAGCAACACAGCAGCCTAGACCTCTGTACTTTCTTGACTCTCCGCGCAACCACGTGAAGTAATAATTCTCGTAGTCCGTGACGTGAAGAAGAATCAATCCGTCCCTCAATGAAATTCTCTGGTGTTAACTAGTGTTGCCACTTTGGATGTTTTACATCCAGATTTAGATGGGTTTTTTTTTTTTGCATCTAGATGGCGTTTTTGACGTTAAGATGGTAGATGTTTTCTAGGTGTTTTTCATTTGGAGTGAATTTATCAAATCTAACCTAAGAAACAGGATGAAATTTGACCTCTTAAATGCCATCTTGACAATAAAATTCGGCTTGATAAGAGTAGGAAAGGCTGTTCCGCTTATCAGCTCCCTGATTGGGTATTAAAAGAAATTGGAACAACTAAAGCATACCAGAGTCATTTTGGATTTGAAGCTTCAACTTCATCATCCAAGCTAAGTTTATCCTGTGGATCTTGTAAGGCAGACTTCAGTAAAGATAAGGACATGATTCTATAGGGTAAGTAATATCAATTCTTATTTAATTTGTGACTCTTTCCATTTGGATGTTTTTTCTAGATGTTTTCTACGCAAATTTAGATGTTTTTAGATATTTTTTGACTCTGTTTTGGATGTTTTTTTGTCAAAGAAAAGTGGCAACACTGGTGTTAACATCAGCGTGTAGACTATATACAAGTTGACAATCACTGCCCGACTTCTTCGGGCGTTGTGGACAATATAACAGTTTTACCTGACGCACAGGTGTACGACATATATGTGGATGTCATAGCGATACTGCTAGACCACACAGGATGGTAGTTGAATGGACAGTCTGACTATTGCTTGAACACTTGTTGGATTCTTCGACATCCCATGCAGACGAATATTTCCAGAGAAAACGGATTCTTTATTAACGAACAAGTGGCTGCAGTGCTAAAACACATCTGTTCACTTGAACGGACTGGGTAGTAGTGACGTGCAGAATCCTAGTCCCTAACTACTACAGTTGGGCAATAATATGGCTCAAGCTTACATTGAAGCGGTCAAACTATTAAGCTTGAACAGGCACAGACAACGTGTTGTATTATACATTTTGACACTATACGTTGAGAACGATTGATTTAGAAGTGATTTATCTATATTTCTTACATCTGGACTCCCTAACAACAAAAGAACTATATATATATATATATATATATATATATATATATATATATATATATATATATATATATATATGGACGAACTATGCGGTATATAGATACTGACTGACTGACTTTCTACCCCACTAGGACATCGCACAAGCGATAAACACCCGATGATACAAAGTGCCACCATGTGGATGAGGATCGCCGTGGAGAGGTCCCAGAAACCGCGTTCAGACAATTGGCCATATTTATGTATGTATTGCGGCCCCTGGAAAAAGCCAGGGTGGGGCTTCAAATAACAAAAAATTTCGTCCTAAAAAGGACAGTCACATAATCATAGATATATAGATACACCAGTTAGTGAGGGGGTGTTTCAGACTGTGGGAAAGTCTATTGTGGTAGGGGAATTGATGCTGTTATATGACAGTCGGACTGCTGTTGGTTCTATGATTGCCTGGTCATCGGCTGCATATTCAATATCACTAACCCCTTAAATTTGTTTCAAAGACCACTGGGTGTTCCACCTAATGGGAACCAGTATTCTGGATGTTTACAACCAATCAACCAACCAGGGGGTTGTTTCCCTTGATGTAGATTTAAGACTTGCAAGTGAAGTGAAAAGACACTTTTTTCAAAGCTCTCATGTGTAGTGGGAATATAGGGCTAGGGCTATGTGTTACAGACAAATAGACACTCGGTGGGTGATATGGTCACAACCGTAGCCTTTACTTCCCATTATTTCACCTGGTTTAAGGCTGGGTCGACCCGATAGCCAAA